GGAAGCAAACTGGTTTGAACTGAAATCAGAGTGGAGTGAGAGTTGTAGGCGAGCCACGTGCTCCCCTTGATCACTTGCTAGTGCAGCAGTGACACCAGGCAGGGGTGCGTGCCCACACAGGTGAGGCAGAGAGGCTCCTGAGCTCATCGGTCGATTTGGAGTTTGTGAGTCTGTAAGTTCAGCCCAAACTGAATCCAGGGTCCGCCTGCAGACGCGCCACGAAGCCTTCCCGGGTTGCCAGCCTCCTGGCTTGGAATGATGGGGGTTGTAGTCTGAACTCTGAACGGCTCCAGGCTGCCTTGCCAAGGCTTTGAAAGAAAGCCAGCCAGAGATAGGAATTGCCTTGGGGTAGCTATTTTGGACACCAGAAGTGGGAGACCCAGGTTCAAATCCTGTGGTGGGTCGCCTAAGGATTCACATTCATCCCCTGCATCTTTTCCTTTGGCGTTCCTCTTGGACCTTCTTTCTCTGAAGAGGTCTCCATAGGAGACCCCAGAGGTGGTTGAACGCTGGTCATTTTCAGAAGCCACAAGGTGTGTCAGCCCTGCCCCTCCAGTGGTTGGCCCCCCAACCGGTTCTTTCTGTCGGGTCTGCAACTTTGGCTGCAGTTTCTTCCTGCCTCTGGTGACTCATTGCAGCCGGAAGATGGTGGTCTGTCTGCAAGGTGTAGCCCACTTCCACTCTGTGTACTTGGAAGGAGGAGGAGGAGAAAACATCTGTTCAGCTTTTAGAAGCCTGTGTTAGGGCGAAAGAGATGGGGGCGTCACTCTGAACCAGTCTCCGTCCAGATTCAGGAGGGGGCAGACTCCCCCAGGAGTCTGAAGGCAAGCTCAGACCACAAGGGAAGTCCGGGAGCCGAGGCGGCCCCGGCCTCGGAAGGGCGGCACCGGTTGCCAAGAAGCTTTGGGTAGCTGGTTGGCTTTGGCTTAGCACCTTGGCCAGACCCAGGGCAGGGTGTAAACCTGTTGCCTCCAGCGTGTGTGAACCCACCTGTTTCCCTTCCCCAGCCAAACGTGCGAATTGGGGAATGGGCCAAGGGGGGAAAGGAAGCCGATGCAGGCCCTCCCGCGGGCCCGGCGCCGCCGCTGCCGCCGCCGCTGGAACGGGGCGAACTGCAAGCT